GAAAGAGCTCTCTTATTTCATGTTTAATGCTGATTAATGCAATATTAAATAGTCCTACAGATTCCTGGGAGTATTTTGACACTCCTCCACAACAGTTGAAAGAAACACAAGTCTTAATAAAAGTGTAATTCAACTGTAGTCAATTAAACTCAATTTATTTAGAAAGGATTAGAGCATTCTTCCTCTAATTGGAAAATATCATTATCCCCGCTTTGTTCCAACTTTATCTCAAAATTGTATCACAAAGTTTTGTAACAATAAGAAACTACCTATATCCCACCCCTCCATCTACTCTTGCCTGGGGTGGGGAAATCCTAAACCAGCAGCTAAGCCACAGAATGGTTACTGCAATAAAATGTATAGCAGTGGCCAAAACAAAGCACAATGGGTGCCTGCATCAGTGCACTGTGAGGTTCGACAGCAAGAGAGAATGGAAAAAATTAAAGGATGCTGTCAAGGTGTTTAGGATTTAAAAGTATCTGTTCTGACAGTCATCTTGTTTGGACCACTTCACCCTTGAAGTGCCAGAAAGGTATGGATTATTTTACTTTAAAATCAAACATTTTTTCAGTTCCTTACTCTATATTGGGTAGGAGTGAACAAGATTAAAAAATTCTTTTTATTTCTTACATAGCAACAGGCTAATATATCTTAAAATTTGTTTCTGAAATCCTTAAGGGTTCAGTACTTTTACAATTAGTTTAACAACCTGACAGCCTCTAAAATAAATATACATATATGTGTGTGCACCCAGTTATATATTTAAAATATAAACATATGCACACCATTATGTTAAAAATATAGTGACACTATGATTATGTCCAACCATATTTGTAAAGAACCTTCACATTCGGTTTTATTGACAGTGTGAATTAGACAAACTTTAAAAAAATAATGTAAGCATTGGGAAAAGGTGCTAAGAGCACCAATAATGGCTACCTGTTTAATTATGTATAGAGGGATACATCATAAAATTATTTTCAAGTTCTGTCTGTTGTTCAATTTTTAACATATTTTTAGGTTTAGAATCCATGTTTAAAGTATCTTTTAAAACCAGTTTAAAATGTGATTTTCACTGAACTTGGACATAATGGAAAAAAACGGTAAAAAAGCGTAGATCATCACCGCTATGAAGCACCACTACAATCCAGACCAATCCGGAAATTCTTACGTTTATTTAATTTTGACTTCAACAACTTGCCGCTAGTAGAAGACAACTCTTCATGCTAAGCAACACAAGCCCTTTTAAATATTATTCATTACAAACCACGTACTTAGAGGTTTTCTAGTAAAACGTTTTCTTCCCTTTCAAACTTTTTCACAAACAGGAACACCAAGAAATAAAAAGCTCCTCAGACAAGGGGCATACTGGATTGAGAATGCCCAGAATGAAGATTCATAGCTAGCCTTCCTCCTTCTCAACAGAATGTAAAAAACAGTAAACTGCCTCCAGGGAACAAAGGAGGAATTAATCTTCCATTTAGGTTAGGACAGAAAAAAGGAACTCTACTAGTAGCTTTGTGGCTACCTGTTCTGTAACATCACTCCACCATTCCTTGGGTAAGAAGAGATGAAAGGGTCAGTTACATAGGACTAGAGAAAGTTGGACAACGCTGTAGAAGTCGTATGAACTTCTTCATAGGATTGTATAATAAATAAGGAATTGTTTACATAGGTGATGTTTCAGTTATATAAACCTTTATTCCTCTATAAGCTCCATCATTTTATCACATAGAGAAAAATGAAATGACCATAAAGATGGAAAGCCTCAGTGAAATCTCTGAGGTACTGTAATTCAGCATAACACACAAATGATTGAGAGCGCACGACAAGGCAGGATTCCCTCGGAAATGGGGAAGGCAAGAGGAGAAGATACTTTCTATGAAAAAACTTGGCAAGTATTAAGCAGAAATGCATTGAGATGCGAGAGATCATGACTCGCACCATGGACTTAAGAGACACTAGCAACCTTTCTGAATCCACATGAGGGTGATAAGAGTCCTACAAATGTTTAATAGTTGATAATTTACCTTCCCAAGACATTGAATCAACTAGCAAGATTATGAGATAGTACTGGAAGAGCCTTTCCTATAGCTTAATGCTACTACATGTGTACTCTCTCCCAGCTCAGCTGATTAGGTTTGTGCTGGTATTTTTCCATGTTCTTAAAATGAAGGAAGTATCCTCCTTTGAACTCCCCAGCTGTTATGACAGCACTTAGTGTTGGAAATTTGGTACAAATTTATAACCTGTTGAACTGTGACTTTTGTGTCCAAGTATTTGAATATGAAAGCATGATGGTCAAAGAATCAAGTTTTCTGTGTCACAAAGTGATTATCTTATCACAGCAGCCTGTCCATTTGCAATCCTCACAACTGTTTGTACTTTCAGCGGTTTAGGAGGAAAGAGGTGTAAGATCATTGTGACAATGTCTTCAACTCGTTTCTGAGAAACTTCACATACTCCCTAGATTAAAAGCCATTAGAAGACAGTAAATTCATGCCATACCTGAGAGCTTCTTAACTCACTTCAGAGGTAAAGGAACCATAGGCTATTGCTTTGATTCTCGTTCAAACAAAATATTCTTCAGTTTTTCAGTTGGATTTGGATGCAGCCTTCAGCATGACCCAAAACTCACTAGGAAAAGGTAAATCTAGGGTCCAGAACAAGCCAGGTCTTTTCTAAGAAAAATTGTCATAAATAAAGCTGGAGGCTTCTCAAGGTGCGAGCAGTGATTGATCCTTACTGCCAGTACTAAATGCAGGCTTAGTTTTGTGCTGAAAAACCATGCCAGGATGTTTTTAACTAACATGCAAATACGTATCACCTGCAACTCAAAATCAGTCTTGGTTAAGAGGCCTTCTTAGTAGTTCATTATATTGTTAAAAGCACACTAAAATTAGAGGTGTAACTTACTAATGGGCTTCAAATCACCTCTCTACATTATTCTCCTTCCAACTCATAGTAAACCAGATATGAACCCCTGTGCACAGCCTAGCCCTCTGATTAATGATTGACTTCCCCAACCAAAAAACCCCAATCAAATAGAAACCTTATCTGTAACATAAGTCAATCGAGGTGTATGTTTACTGAGTTACAGGACTACACTGGACAGAAGCGCGGCATAAGTTGTGCATCTGCATGAAGACCACCTTCGCCTAGAAACCAGGTGAAATTCTGCCCTAGAAGCATGCTGTCTGATAAAACCCTGATGTGCTTTTTAATAATAAACCACTGGATGTTTTGTACGTACAGCAGGTCAGAAGAAATATCAGTTTCTGACATTATCATATCAGTATCTGAAATATCAGATAAGTTACTAAATTGTATTTTCAAAGTGTATTTTTATTTTATTTAGCTATATACTACATATATCAAATTATAAATACAGTACATTTTAGATATTTATATCTTTAAAGTATACTTACTGCATGTCTGTCTGTTTTGCTGGCATGGGCTTTTTGAAGGAGTTTGGTTTGGGTTTTTTTTTTTTTCTTCATTTTGGGAAAGCAGGCATGATTCAAAATTTATTTCCCATGTGTCAAGGAAATTTTAACTAATATTCTCAGACCTAAGTCTGAGAAATTTGAATAGAGTATGTCATCAGCTGGCACAACTACATACTTAATGATGGAAATTACTGAAAAAACTTCTGCTGATTTAACAAGGATGTTTTAAATCTTTAAATAAAAGCACACCTTCAAAGCAAATTCCTACTTAATGTTAATCACATGTCATTTATTTATATACAAATCAGGTGAGAAAACTCAAAACTATTCTTAAACCCAAGGCTTCTTTATTTCATTTAGCAAAATAAACACTTGTTAAAGTTAACTTACCATCCAAGACTACTGTAAAAGTAGATTTGTCTTGTTGAAAACCACAAATGTAGACTTTTTCTTTTAACTTTCATTTTACTGAAACTAAAAAGTAGCTTCTCATTCAAAACTCTTCAACATCCTACAAAATCTTTCATCTTAACCCCTTGAAAGAAGGCATTGTGAGATTAATTGCATATTATTAAAGACAGCTTTCAAATATATTCCCTCAATGGCTCGCTACACAGAAACAACTACCACCTTCAACCCTACAGAGGTCTCCTGAAGGTTCTAGGGGAAAGGAGAGAAATCAGTCCATCCCAGGCTCTCTGCTGGAGGAAGGAGAAGACTCAGCATCAGAGAACTTGCCAGTGGTGGCACATGTGATGGCAGTTAAAGCCTTCCAAGTAAAAGTCTCCAAAACAGGAAGCGTTGCAGGTTTCTGAAAAATTTCCACATAGAACTTGCGTACTTGATCACAACTGCATGTTCCTTCAGGTTTCTATAGGAGGTATGAGGAGCACAACCTTGTTTTCCTCTGTAGGAGGATAAAATTAAATTTGTTCTATGAGCTCATCTGAGAGTATATGGGACTGTGAATAATATAATCTGTTTGCACTCATTCAAGACCCTAATGAGAAGGCACCCAGAGGCAGCTATGTGTATGTTTCATTCGTCAGCAAAGTCAAATATCCTTTCCTAAAGTGACATTCTTTCCCATGGTATTAAACCAAGCATTTTAGTTGGGGTGAAAGATTCACTTCTAGTTCTCCTTCCTCTAGAAGATGACCTGAACTGTCACTTCTTGTTCCACAGATACTCAATTTATAGTACAGCATATACATGAAACCGTGTTCTTGGGTGCACTGAGCCTCCATCCTCAGGTGACACAGTTTATACTCTCCTTGTGCAGTAACCAGCATTTTTCCCACTTGGAAATGCCCCCCTGCTCCTCCAAACATGGTCTGCTTGCAGTTTTTAGAGACTAAGGAATGCTTTTTGATAGCCCTCATCTCTAAACCCATCTGGGTAGCAAAAAGAGTGCGTGTTGCAAAGAGCTGGCTGTTTTGAAGTTCTGGATTTACAGCCTTCCAAATTCTCCCCTCCACTCAGGTTTTTTTTGTTTTGTTTTTGTAGATTTACCTTTTTGTGGATTAACTGTGTTGTTCCGTTGCCTAAGGAGATCCTTGTGCTATGGAGAGCAAGATAGAGCTGTTCTTTAAAAATAATTATCCTAGTTCTAAAAAAATGTATGAACTGTTTTTATGAAACACAAAGGTGCAGGATGATCAGCCATTGGATACGGGAATAGTCAAAAAAAGCTGTACAAAGTAGGGAAAAGAAGGAAGAAAAAGGAGAGCTACAGAAGTTGTATTAAATACGTTTACTAGGCCAATAGTTTATAGGTCAAAGAAGAATTGATTTCTTAGTAGTAGCATCTCACCTTTCAGCTCAGTTATTTGAGACTGAAAATATACCTTCAGTTGATACAGGTTTGTTTTGCGGTTTTTTGGTTTTTTTAAAATTAAAAACAAAGCAGCAGTTTTTAAAGCAAGACCAGTTTCTGAACAGGATAAATTAACAGAACAAGTACATTTGATACGTTCAACTCACAAATACAAAAGAAGACCAGATATGCTAAAGATAATGGCTGTTAAGAAATAAAACAAGCATACTTATTCCAACCCAATATTTCTAGATCTCTGACAAGACAGGAGTAGTATTCTGGCGGCCGTGGTATATGCAGGTCTTGTGTATTCTTTAAAGCAATTTCCTGTTTAAAAGAACATTAAAAACATCATTAAGAGAGATTTCAATATTTTTGCATCTATTTAGTCATGTGATTTTTGCAATTCATTCAAAAATACTAAGCCTATGTAAAATTAACTGTACACTGCATTTGTTTTGTTATAGCCTCCAGCTAAAGCAGACAAAGAAGCTGTTTGTTAAATTACTTCAGATACTGGTAATGAAAACATCTGCAATTTAAAAAAAAAAACCACAGATGTTGACAACATAGTCTTCAGATGCAAATATCAATTGTGCCTCTTTTTCAGCTAATAAATTTGAAGTCAAGCATCTTGACTGAAAGAACATTTCAAAAGAAGGTTCTATTAAGCCCACAGCTGTCTCCTGGGTTCCACAGCCACAAAAGACGACACACATATGAAATCCCCCATATTATTTTTAAGTATCTATATACAACTTTAAATTGCAATCAAAAGAAAAAAAATCAAAAAGTCAGTTTTTCTGTTTTAACATCATAGGATCCCAGAGAGTAAGTTTTGGTACAGACACTCATCAAGTATGTCGTAATGCCTCAAAAAGAAATTTTTATTGAACAGGTAATGCCACATTACAGAGAAAAACAAAACCAAACCCAAACTGTACGTTCCAAATTCGCGTTGTGTTACTTGTTCTTTAAAAGTGTACTTAAGTTAAAATTATGCTTACAGGACAAATATATAAATGAAACTTATAATAAAATT